TTAGACTCAGTCAAGGAGGCAATGAGGCAATGAAAGGAGGGGCAGGTTTTGGAAGAAATTGATACAGAAGGAGAAAGAAAGTGTTATAGATATGATGACAGAAACTAAAGCTGGATCTAAGGGGGTAATGTTTACTTCACTGGATTATATGCCAGGAGCTCTTCTCAGCATTTTGCATGTGTTAACTCATGTAGACTTCCCAAGAGTACTAGCAGATAGGTACTCATTGTCTACCTTTTACAGATGAGGAAATTGAGGCACTGAGAGGTTAAATAAAATGCTCAAGATTACATAGTCATTGAGCAGAATAACAGAAGGTGGTCTGGCACAGGGAGCTGTTGTATTGGTAAGCTCATTTCTGTTTTTGTTCCATCTCTTGAAAAATACTGCTAATCAAGATATTTTGTTTTCTTCAGATTTTTGAAAATGGACTTTACTTTTTTTTTCCCTCACACTTCTTGAGTCTAGGAAAAGCAGTTTTAGATTCATAGCAAAATGGAGCAGAAAGAACTAAGAGTTCCTGTATACTCCCTGTTCTCAAAGCATACAGCATCCCACACAATCAATATCCCCAACCACAGTGGTACCATTGTTAAAATTGTTGAACCTATATTGATCGACATATCATTATCACCCAAAGTCCATATTGTACATTAGCATTCACTCTCTTTGCTGTCTCCATAGTTTTGCATTTTTCAGAATGTCATATAGTTGGAATCATACCATATGTAGCCCTTTTGGATTGAGGTCTTTCATTTAGTAATATGCATATAAGTTTCCTCCATGCGTTTTCATGGCTTCTTTTTAGCACTAAATAATATTCCATTGTCTTGAATATGCCACAATTTATTTATCCATTCACCTACTGAAGGATATCTTGGTTGCTTCCAAGTTTTGGCAATTATGAATAAAGCTGTTATAAACATCCATGTGCAAGTTTTTTGTGAACATATGTTTTCGAGTAAATATCAAGGAGCACAATTGCTGGATTGTTTACTAAGAATATGCTTAGTTTTATAAGAAACTATCATACTGTCTTCCAGACTGGTTGTCTATTTTGCATTCCTACCAGCAATGAATGAGAGTTCCTGTTGTTCTACATCCCTGTCAGTATTTAGCGTTGCCAGTATTTTGGATTTTGGACATTCTAATAGATATGTAATGATGTCTCATTGTTATTTTAATTTGTAATTCTGTAATGACATAGGATGTTGAAAGTCTTATCATATGCTTTTTTTCCTGTGTATCTTCTTTTTTTTTTTTTTTAAAGATTTTATTTATTTATTTGAGAGAGAGAATGTGATAGAGAGAGAGAGCATGAGAGGGGGAGGGTCAGAGGGAGAAGCAGACTCCCCGCCGAGCAGGGAGCCCGATGCGGGACTCGATCCCCGGACTCCAGGATCATGACCTGAGCCGAAGGCAGTCGCTTAACCAACTGAGCCACCCAGGCGCCCCTCCTGTGTATCTTCTTTAGAGAGGTATGATCCAGACCCCCATACAGGCCTTGCCCCCGACAACACCCCCAACTTGGGGGCAAGGTATCTGTTCAGATCTTTTGCCTATGTTTTAATTGAGCTGTTCATTTTCTTATTGTTGACTTTTAAGAATTCTTTGTGTATTTTGGATGACTATACATTATTTAGTATGTCTTTTGCAAACTTTTTCCCCAGTCCTTTCTAGGCTTGTCTTTTCTTTTCTTTTTTTCTTTTTTTTTTTTTAATGTCCAGGCTGCTGTTCAGCCAAGATTGCTTTTTTTTTTTAGATTTTATTTATTCATTTGAGAGAGAGGGGAAGAGCACAGAGGTGGAGTAAGTGGGAGAAGCAGACTCCCTGCTGAGCAGAGAGCCCGACATGAGGCTCCATCCCAGGATCCTGAGATCATGACCTGAGCTGAAGGCAGGCGCTTAACCAACTGAGCCACCTAGGTGCCCCAATTGTCTTCTCATTTTGTTGATAGTATCTTTCACACAGCAAAAGTTTTTAATTATAATGAAGTCTAGTTTATCAATGATTTCTTCCATGGTTTATTTTTTTGGTGTTTTATCTAAAAAGTTATTGCTAAAACCAAAGGTCATGTAAATTTTTTCCTATATTATCTTCTGGGAGTTTTATAGTTTTGTGCTTTAACATTTAGGTGTATGATCCACTTTGAGCTAATTTTTATGAAGAGTGTAAGGTCTGTCTATATCTAGATTCATTTTCTTCTATATGAATATCTGGTTATTTCAGCATCATTTGTTGAAAAGACTATCTTTTTTTCCACTGCATTACCTTTGCTTCTTTGTCAAAGTTGACTGTGTTTGGGTATAATATTTCTGGTCTCCATTCCATTTGATGGATCTGTATGTCTCTTCTCTCACCAGTACTACACTGTCTTGATTACTCTAGCTTTATATTAAGTCTTTAAGTCAGATAATGACTTTGTTCTTTGACTTTATTCTTCTTCTTCAGTATTATGTTGGCTCTTCTGGATCTTTTGCCTCTGTGTCTAAACTTTATTTATTTATTTATTTTTAAGATTTTATTTATTTATTTGACAGAGAGAGACACAGCAAGAGAGGGAACACAAGCAGGAGGAGTGGGAGAGGGAGAAGCAGGCCTCCTGCCGAGCAGGGAGCCAGACACAGGGCTTGATCCCAGGACCCTGGGATCATGACCTGAGCTGAAGGCAGATGCTTAACGACTGAGCCACCCAGGCGCCCCTTTGTCTAAACTTTAAAATCAGTTTGTCATTATCCACAAAATAACTTTCTGGGTTGTTGATTGGGATTGCATTGAACTATAGATCAAGTTTGGAAGAACTGATACTTGACAGTATTGAGTCTTCCTATCCACAAGCATGGAATCTCTCTCTCTCTTTATATGGTTCTTCTTTGATTACTTTCATTAAAGTTTTATAATTTTCCTCATGTAGCTCTTGTATATATTTTGTTAAATTTAACCTAAGTATTTAATTGGGGGAGGTTCTAATGTAAATGGTAATGTATTTTTAATTTCAAACAACACTTGTTCATTTGTTGGTATATAAGAGGGCAGTTGACTTTTGTATATGAACCTTGTATCCTGGAACCTTGCTATAATTGATTACTTCTAGGTGTCTTTTTGTTGATCCTTTCAGATTTTCTACATAGACAATCATGTCATTTGTGAACAGACAGTTATATTTCTTTCTTCCCAATCTGTACACTTTTTTATTTCCTTTTTTGTCTAATTGCATTAGTTAGGACTTCCAGTACAATTTTATAGAGTTGTGATAGGGGACATCCTTTCCTTGAGAAAGCTTCTAGCTTTTTATCATTAAGTATTACATTAGCTGTAGGATTTTAGTAAATGTTCTCTATCGAGCTAAGGAACTTCCACTCTATTCTTAGTTTGCTGGGAGTTTTTATCATGAATGGGTGTTGGATTTTCTCAAATGCTTTTTCTGCATGTATTGATATGCATGTGATTTTTTTCTTATCTGTCTTCTTGATGTGTTTAACTTACTTTCAGATGTTGAACCAGCCTTGTGTACCTGGAATAAATCCTACTTGGTTGTAGTTTATAATTCTTTTCATACATTGTTGGATTCAACTTGTAAATCTTTTGTTGAGGGTTTATGCATCTATGTTCATGAGAGAAATTGATCTGTAGTTTTCTTATGATTTTTTTTTTCCCTGCTTTTGCTATTAGGGTAATGCTGACTTCATAGAATGAATCAGGAAGTATTTCCTTGGCTTCTATCTTCTGGAAGAGATTGTAGAGAATTGTATAGTTTCTTCATTAAATATTTAGTAAATTCACCAGTGAACTCATTTGGGCTTGATGCTTTCTATTTTGGAAGGTTATTAATTATTGATTCAATTTATAATAGATAGAGACCTATTCAGATGGTCTATTTCTTCTTGTATGAGTTTTATCAGATTGTGTCTTCTAAGGAATTGATCCATTTCATCTAGTCTGTCAAATTTGTAGGCATAGAGTTGTTCAGAGTATTTCTTTATTATCTTTTTAATGTCCATGGGATCTGTAGTAATGTCTCCTCTTTCATTTCTGATATTAGTAATTTGTATCTTTTCTTCTTCTTTTTTTCTTAGTTAACTGGTTAGAGGCTTGTTGATTTTAATGATCTTTTCAAAGAACCAGCTATGTTTTGTTGATTTTCTCTATTGATTTCACGATTTCTCCTCTAATTTTTATTATTTCTTTTCATCTGCTTACTTTGGATCTAATTTTCTCTTCTTTTTCTAATTTCCTAAGATAGAAGCTTAGATTATTGATTTTAGATCTTTCTTCTTTTCTAATATATGCATTCAATGCTATAAATTTTCCTTTAAGCACTGCTTTTGCTGAATTCCAAAAATGTTAATTAAGTTGTATTTTCATTTTCATTTAGTTAAAAATATTTTTCAAATTTCTTTTGAGATTTTGTCTTTGACCCATGTTTATTTAGCAGTGTGTTGTTTAACCTCCAAGTATTTTGGGACTTTTTCAGCTATTTTTCTGTTACTAGTTCAGTTCTGTTGTGGTCTAAGAGCATACATTGTATGTTTTCTATTCTTTAAAATACATTAATGTACATTATCTATCTTGATGAATAAGATATCTTTTTCATTGTATTGAATTGGAGACTTAGATTAATGAAGGAATTTTAAAATAATTCTGTTTTCCATCAGTGATAGATACTTAGTACTTTACCTTTAACTCATTTCATGATTTGTTCTAAAGAGGGGGATGTTTTTCATTTATGGGGATTTGTTTCTACATATGCCAATCTGTGTCTCAGAAGGAGTAGCATTTGTGGAAAATCTAAGCTGTCCTCATAGAATGTATATGTACATTAGAGAAAGTGTTCTACATTATAAATATGTACTTAAATATATATATTGGCTTAGGTAACATCACATTAGCTGGATTTTTTTTTTTACAATGGAGGGATATTTAACATTTCACAAACATCTATAAATAATAAATTTTCATTATACCTTTAAAATGTGACAATTTTTTTCTATCCCATTTAGTTTTGTCAGCCTGGCGGGTGGCAGCTGTCCAGAGAGAGGAAGCAGCCAACATTTTTTGTGGTGGTCCTGACAGATATTGACTCAGATCGACATTACTGCTCATGCCTAACCTTCTATGAGGCAGAAATCAATCTTCAGGTACAACAACTTTTCTAGCCAAAAGAACAACATTTAGGAATCTTTTTTTAATGCCATATTTGTTTTTGTTAGAACTGTAAGTTTAAGTTCTTTGGGCTACTTTAGAAAGACTGAGGTGTACTATACTGTTGGAGAAGAGAGGAAGAAGGTAAACTTTGTTTTCTTTTAAAATATTGATCATTATCTGAATATTCACAAGAATGGCCTATTCATGAATTGGTTTATTAGGAAGATTTGTATTCTCTCATGGAGAAACTGTGATTTCCCTGTCAGTCCTTTTCCTGAGAAGTCTTTTACAGAATATAGAGCATATAATCAGAATGTTTATAAATCACCTATCACAGTGCTTAATATTATTTTTTAAGTACCCAACTAAATGTCAAGTCATTATTATTAGTGGTGGGAGTATCAATATAACAGGACTGAAATTCATAAGCTAGAACCATAGAAATGAAAAATACTAGGTTTCTCGGAATATTTGTTGGGGTTCTTAGTTTCAGACAACTGAATCTACTTTCTCTAATTTATGCATAAAAGGATTCATGACAGTGTATTGGGCAGCTTATGTAATTTCATGGGTTAGGGGTGAGCAGGGAACCAATTTTGGGTACTAGGAATTGCCTAGCTTGGGTCTGTTTTAGTAGAAACCATACTTTTTCTACCTTTGACCACTTGGCACTTAGGATGTTGGGTACTAGACAATATAACCTTTACATGTTGCCCTAAAAATCTGACCTCTCATGTGCAGCCTGTCTTACACGGGTGACTTCTGCTTTAAATTTCATATGGATTGTTTCCTTGTGGAAGTCAGATTGCATGCAGATCCCTCCTCTCCCACCCCCACCCCCCTGAAAGGGATCAGAAAAACTTTTTTGTTGTTGTTATGCATTTGTTTGTTTGTTTGTTTTGCTTTTAAAGCTCTATAGTACAAGACGGAAACTATAAGAGTTTGGAGGATGTTGAGTAAGCCAATCTGCATTATCTGCAGTACTTTCTGCTACATGCGGATGAATGAGTATCACTGCCAGAGTAAAGGATTGGCTTACTTTCTAAAATGGCCTCACAAAGAAGCATTTGTTGTTTGGGTTACTTTAATTAAAACTCCCAATATCTGAATTTTTTTAGATGCAGAAGTCTGAATTTGCAGTACAAGAGGAGATGTCACCTTTCATGACACAGACTTATATTATCCACATTCATTAGACTGATGTATTAAAACCAGCATGCTAGTTTATTAACATGTGCACATGTCTGGCACTTCAGAATTTGCAGTTGCTGCCCAAGGAGTGCACCCTTTTAATCCCCTGGCTCTGGTAGCCAGGAACGTTTAAGCTGTTGGCTCCTACAGGGCTTCAGCACAGAAAGAAAGTTCTTTTTTGTTTTTTTTTTTAAAGATTTTATTTATTTATTTGGCAGAGAGAGACACGGCGAGAGAGGGAACACAAGCAAGGGGAGTGGGAGAGGGAGAAGCAGGCTTTCCGCTGAGCAGAGAGCCCGATGCGGGGCTCGATCCCAGGACCCCGGGATCATGACCTGAGCCGAAGGCACATGCTTAACAACTGAGCCAACCAGTTGCCCCAAGAAAGAAAGTTCTTAACTGGCCATCCCCACCCAGGACTCAGTGCAGAAGGAGCAGACAGAAATACCCATCTCCAAGTCTTTTGCTGAAAGACGTATATTTGCATACATTAAAAGCTGCTTCTTGAGGGCCTGGCTTTTAGTCCGTCTGAATCTAGTTGCTGAGATCCTTCTCTTTAGCACACTGACAGATCTTGATACACCCTCAACTATAGGAAGCACTAAGAATAAGGTAGTCTGCTTGACAATCACAGAGGTTTGAGAGACAGCCGAGATCTATAAGATTGAATGATAAGATTCATCCTCCTACAAGAGGCCACTTCTTCAAGATTAGGAGGGGTGGCTGGCTGTTTTATTGAATGCATAGAAACTAACAAAGAAAGTCAAGTAAAATGAAGAAATAGGAATATGTTCCAAATGAAAGAATAAAAGAAAACCTCATAAAAAGGAGAAATGGAGATAAGAGATTTACCTGATAAAAGGTTCAAAATGATGATCATAAAGATGGAGAAGAATGAATGAACAAAGTCAGAATTTTAACAAAGAAAATATAAGAAAGTACCAAATAAAAGTCACAGAGCTGAAGCATAGAATAACTGCACTGAAAAATACCAAAAGGGATTTAACAGCAGACTAGGTGAAGGAGAAGAAATGATCAGTGAACTTGAGGACAGAGTAGTGGAAATCACCCAATCAAAAGAGCAAAAAGAAAAAAGAATGAAAAACAGTGAAGATAGTTTTAAGGACTTATATGACAACATCAAGTAGACCAACATTCACAATTTAGGTATTCCAGAAGGAGAAGAAAGAAAGGGACAGAAAACTTATTTGAAGAAGTAGTGGCTGAAACCTTTCCAAACATGGGGAAGGAAACAGACATCAAGGTCCACAAAGCTCATGGAGTTCCAATAAAGATGAAGCCAAAAAAATCAACACCAAGACATATTATAATTGAAGTGTCAAGAGTTAAGGACAGGGGCGCCTGGGTGGCTCAGTCGTTAAGCGTCTGCCTTCGGCTCAGGTCATGATCCCAGAGTCCTGGGATCGAGCCCCGCATCGGGTTCCCTGCTCGGCAGGAGGCCTGCTTCTCCCTCTTCTATTCCCCCCTGCTTGTGTTCCCTCTCTCGCTGTCTCTCTCTCTCTGTCAAAATAAATAAATAAAATCTTTAAAAAAAAAAAAAAGAGTTAAGGACAAGGAGAGAATCTTAAAAGTAGAAGAGAAGAACAACTTGTTCATTCAAGGGATCCCCCATTCCTATGCACAGATTTCTCAGCAGTAACTTTGTGGGTCAGTAAGGAGTGGCAAGATACATTCAACTAAGAATATTCTACCTGGCAAAGTTGTCCTTCAGAATTGAAGGAGACATAAACAGTTTTCCAGACAAGCAAAAGTTAAAGAAGTTCATCAACACTAGACTGGCCTTATAAGGAATGTTAAAGGGAGTTCTTTAAGCTGAACTGAAAGGGTACTAATTAGTAACAGGGAAACATATTAAAGTATAAATCTTACTTGTAAAAAATATCTGATGTAAAGATGGTGAGTTAATCACTTATAAAGCCTAGTATGAAGAGATTAAAAGACAAAAGTAGTGGGCCACCTTGGTGGCCTTGGTTGGGTGACTCTTGATTTTGGTTCAGGTCATGAACTCAGGGTCATGAGATCAAGCCCCACATCAGGCTCCATGCTCAGCTCTCCCTCTGCTCCTCCTCTTTCTCTCTCTCTCTCAAGTAAATAAATAAATAAAATCTTTTTTTAAAAAAAAAGACAAAAGTAGTAAAAATAACCATACCTACAAAAACTTGTTAATGGATACATAAGATAAAAAAAAGATGTAAATTATGACCACCTAACATAAATTAGATGAGGGGGGATTAAAAATGTAGAGCTTAGAATATGTTCTAATGTAAGTTATTATCAACTTGAAATAGACTATTATAAATTGTTTTATGCAAACCTCATGGTAACCACAAGCAAAACCTGTAGTAGATACAGAAAAGATAAAGAGAATGGAATCCAAGCATGCCACTAAAGAAAAACACCAAGTCACAAAGGAAGAGAGCAAGAGAGGAAGGAACGAACAACAGAATTACAGAATATCCAGAAAACAAGGAACAAAATGGCATTAGAAGTACAAACTGATCAATAATTACTTTAAAGTAGACAGATTAAGTTCTCTAATCCAAAGATTTAGAATGGCTGAATGGATTAAAAAGAATAAGACCCAACTAAGTGCTACCTACCAGAGACTCATTTTAGCTTTAAAGATAGACACAGACTGAAAGTGAAGGGATAGAAGAAAATATGCCATGCAAATGGAAACCAAAAGAAAGCTATAGTAGCTATACTTGTCAGACAAAATAGACTTTATTTTTTCTAAGATTTACGTATTTATTAGAGAGCTGCTTGCAAACGAGGGGAGGGACAGAGAGAGAGAATCTCAAGCAGACTCCCCACTGAATGCAGAACCGGATGTGGGCTCGATCTCACTCACAACCCTGAGATCATGACCTGAGCCAAAACCAAGAGTGGGACGCTTAACGAAATGAGCCACCTAGGCGCCCCCAAAATAGACTTTAACCTAAAAACTGTAATAATTGACAAAGAAGATCATTATATAATGATAAAGTAGTCAACTCATCAAGAGGATATAACAACTGTAAATATATACCCAACATCAGAGCACCTAAGTAAGTATAATATTTGCTTATGTTCTTTATAGCTCTCCCTATTTTTCTTTAGATTTTATTTATTTATTTATTTGACAGAGAGACAGCAAAAGAGGGAACACAAGCAGAGGGAGTGGGAGAGGGAGAAGCAGGCTTCCCGCCGAACAGGGAGCCTGATGCAGGGCTCAATCCCAGGACCCTGGGATCATGACCTGAGCCGAAGGCAGACGCTTCACGACTGAGCCACCCAGGCGCCCCGCTCTCCCTTTTTTTCTTCTCTAGTACAGGATGCAGTTTAAAATCACATATGGCTTTTAATTATCATTTCTCTTTGTGTCTTTTTATCTGGAATAGTTGCTCACCCTTTGTCTTATGACACTGACATTTTTGAATAATGCAGGTCCCATGTCCCCTTTTAATAGAATATTCATTATTGTGTTTTTTCTGATGTCTCTTATCTTTAGATTCAGATTATACATCAGCAGTTGGAATACTACCAACATTGGAAATACTAAGTGTGTTTCTTTTTTTTTTTTAGATTTTATTTATTTATTTGACAGAGAGATAGTGCAAGAAGGCAGAGCGGCAGGCAGAGGGAGAGGGAGAAGCAGGCTCCCCACTGAGCCGGGAGCCCGACACGGGGCTCGATCTCAGGACCCACAGATCACGCCCTGAGCCAAAGGCAGACACTCAACCATCTCAGCCACCCAGGCCCCCCGCCTGTGCCAATTTTTATTATGATGGTTGTAAAATGA